ACCGAACTCTTGAAGCTCAGGCAGGGTAAGCGTGATGTGCACGCTTACGCTCAACATATACGACATCTCACGAGTTGTATAAGTTCCAATTCGGTGGATGAACACACGTTGGTTTCGGTGTTCATGCAGGGTCTTGCGGATGGTCCCGTCAAGACTCACCTGTTCCGGCTTAGACAGATTCACTAGAACAAGCCATTTCCATTGCGGAGCAGGAAGACTTCAGTCTGAGACAGGCTCGCGCCAGCTCGACATCATATCGTCACCGAGACGATATGACAGCGGAGGTCCAGAGCCGATGGAACTCTGTTATGTAGAGAGCGAGAAGGCTCGCTCTACAGGCTACAAGAAGTTGCAGAGATGCAACAGATGTCAAAAGACAGGACACTACGCTTACGAGTGTGGTGCCCCTCGTCCAGTGTCTCGCGACACTGGGCGTAGTGACCTTCCACCCATGAGAGAGAGGGAGGCAGGGGACGAGGGTCCGCATTTGGTGCAAAGACGCAACAACAGGATGGACCGCGTCAAAAACGGACAGGATCAGTAGGTGCGGAGCACCTACTGATCCAGCAACGTCAAGGAATTTGTAGGCCTCTTGATGAAGGTTGCTCCCAACACACAGACGTTGTGCGTTGCTGCTCTAGGTAATGAGGATCTCGCTCATTACCTTGAAACTCGAAGTGACGAATAAAAGTTGGCCCTTCGAGCTCTAGTCGATTGTGGGGCGTCCAACAATTTTGTGCGACGCCAATCGCTAGAAGATGGTCATTTTAAATTCAGTGATATGTGACACACCTCCTACGAGGATGACGGTACGATCTTGCGACAGGCGCATCCGTAACCGTCATGAAGCGTATAGTGAAGATTCACTATACGCTAGAAGATACCCAATATGACGATGACTTTATCGTATTGGATTTGGATGACAAATTTGATGTCATCCTTGGAATACCGTGGCTCAGAAGGTACGAACCACGGGTAAACTGGCAACATCGGACAGTAACGATGCCTGCCGCTTGTTCATCAGATGGCCATCTGATGAACGTTTTGGAGCGTCCACAAGCGTGTGGATGTACTACGAGTGAGTGCGATGGCCTCACTTGTGGTACGGTCGTTAGTACGACTGCACAAAACCTTAGTGTACCAAACGGTTACACTTCGAGCAAAGTTCCGGCGGCTGTGAGGAAACACAGGCTGCGCCGAAGGTCCACCACTCCGAATAAGTCGGGTGGACTGGGACAAAGATGTATCCCTGGCGGGGAACATCTAGAAGAGAAACAATCGATCGCTCAGGTTAAGCGAAACGATAATCCTAGATCGACTGGAGGGAGTCTTTCGTAGAGGATCTCGCTGTGGTTGCGCAACCCCAGCTAGAGGAAGTAAAGGGAATAAGTCCCAAGATTACAAATACGGCGGAAATAAGTTCCCCCGAAACCCGCGGGAATAAGTCCCCGGGAAGACGAAGGAATAAGTCCTTCGAGGCCTGAGGGAATAAGTCCCCAGGAAATGACAGAGACATTGAATGTCATAGTCAATAACGGATCAAGTGTAGGCGCTTATACACTTGATCTGATTGCTCTCCGAAGTTGACTTTGGAGATCCACTCAATTGCCAACGCTCGAACATAAAAGGTTCTTGCGTGATCTGCGTAGTGGCAAGTCAAGCAGATCTGCGTACTCGTCGCTGACGACGAGTGTGTAACCGACATAAGGTCAGCAACAGTGTTTACTGAGAACGAGAGAGTTCTCAGTAGTTCATCTATGGACGAGAGTGTCCTAGATGAAAAGACACGAGTTGAGCGATATGACTCCCAATCATGGGAATCGCTCAAAAGAACCAATCCTCTCTATGAAGATTTGGTTGAATTCAAGGATGTATTCCCTGAAACTGTTCCGTGCGAATTACCGAAGAAGGATAAAGGTATTCGACACGAGGTCGAAGCTAAACCAGGCTCGAAGTACTGTGTCATGAAGCAGTGGCCACTGCCTCGTGAACAAAGTACTTGCGATCGACAAGTTCTTTGCCGATCGTTTAGCAGGCCATGAGGGGAATCAACTTCCCCACATGGCTCTCCGACCTTCTGTGTGCGGAAAGCAACAGGAGGGTGGCGGATAGTGCACGCGTTTAACAAATTGAACGCTGCAACGGTACCGGCTCCAGACGCCGATACCGAGGAAGGACGTAATCATTGATGGTATGTCAAAGAGTACCATCTTTTCGTCCATGGATTTGATGGATGGCTTCTATCAAATCCTTTATGCCGAAACAGGATATACTATACCGCAGTTAGCACGCCTAGCGGCATGCTCTGGGAATGGCTAGTAATGCCACAAGGGCTCAGTAATGCCCCTGCCACGTTCAACAGATGTGTATCACATCTGTTGAGGCCAATATACGAGAATTCGCGCCGAGTTATTTCGATGACGTATTCATCCATAGTCGGGCTATGGATGGAAAGTCGGACGTTGAAGTTCACAGGTACCACGTCCGACAAGTTTCTTACAATCATGCGAAAGCATCAATTGTATGCAAACCTCAAGAAGTGTATATTTTGCAGCAAGCGGAAATACCACTTCTTGGGTGCATCGTTGGTAAGAACGGTGTACGTCCTGATCCCGAGAAAGATCAAGGCGATCACCGACTGGCCTGTGCCGGTCGATGTCAAAGGTCTTCGAAAATTCCTTGGGCTAGCGGCGTATTTGCATAAGTATTCACGCAATTACGCCGAGATGACTTATGCACCTCTCTCGTTTGTTGGAAAAGAACGAGAGGTGGTTATGGAACGCTGAATGTCAGCGCTCCTTTGAGGGTATCAAGCAGAGCTTGATACAATCCCCATCCCTAGCAATAGCCGATCAGGACGGGCCATTTCATGTGGTCTGTGATGCCAGCGATTTCGCAATCGGCTGTGCATTAATGCAGTACGACCTAGAAGGCGTTGAACGCGTCGTGTGCTATCAGTCGCGTCAGCTGCAACCAGCTGAGCGGAACTATCCAGTGCATGACAAGGAACTCCTTGCCATGAAGTATGCACTCGCGAAGTTCAGGGTCTATCTATTAGGAGATAGACCCTTCGTTGTTTACACTGACCATGCGTCATTACGCACGGCAGTGAACAGCCCGCACCTTTCACGACGAATGGCGCGGTGGTTGTCATTCTTTGCGGAATGCAACTTTACGGTCAAGTACAAACCAGGACGACTTAATGTCGTCGCTGATGCACTCTCACGTCGTCCCGAATTTGAAACAGTCGCGAAACCCAACAGTGAGACAGTCACTGTTGCGGTTATGATACGTCCTCAGTCCCATCTACAACGTTGTATGATGATGTGAGGCGGAGCATACGCCTCAAGATGGTGAGATTGTGAAGTTGTTGTCACATCTCTCCCAACCATCTCGAGAATCGTTGAAACGATTGTCGCGTCTGCGTATCGATCTGCATCAGATCGATACACTGCTCGTAACGGTTTACTGTACTATACAGCCGTTTCTGGTGACACACCACGTGTTGTCATTCCAGATGATACTGATCTGCGTTTGCGGATCATGTTCAGAGTATCACGATGCTCCTATAAGGAGGACATCGTGGCCGAGAAGAAAACATATCTCACGGTAAGTCGAGACTTTTACTGGCCCCGCCAGTATCAGTTTGTGCGAAAGTATGTTCGCGCATGCAAAGTCTGCCAACGAGTGAAGTCAAGTCCTTCACTGCGTGCACCTTTACAGCCTCTACCGGTTCCGGCTGAGTGCTGGGAATCCATCTCAATGGATTTCGTCTTCAGGTTACCAGAACGCACGCGGGAATACGGGTATTCTCGTATTTGTTGAGCAGATTCAGCAAAATGGTACACCTTGTGGCTGTACCAGAGACAATCACGGCAAGTGGCTGTGCTTGTGTCTTTATTGACACCATCTTCCGACTTCATGGGTTCCCCCGTGAACTCGTATCGAACAGAGATCCACGCTTCACTGCTGATTTCTGGCGTTCCGTGTTCAAATCACTCCGGAATGTAGCAGAAGCGTGACGTCATCAACATCTGATCATCCAAGAGTCAGATATGGTCAGACGGAACAGCCAATCGTGTCCTCGAAGAGATACTTCGAGGATACGTACACTCCTTTAAGAGTTGGATTGAGTTTTTGCCAATGGTAGAGTTTGCCATTAACAACTCGGTGCATGCGTCCACGACACATACACCGTTTTACGTGAATGGCTTGCGCCATCCGCGTGTACCCACCTTACTAGAGTGTAACTCTGGTTTAAGGGGGGGGAGGGACTCGCGCGAGCAAAAACACCGATTTGGTTCACGCTCATCACGCTCTGACGAGGTCATTGCGTTTGATGCCCGATAACATCGATATCGAAGAAGATGATGCCAGTGAGGAGTGCGGGAAGCCCTCACTGAAGAAAGATTGATGTTGCTGCAGTGCGCTCACAGCACACTGAAGCTAACGAGTCACCGGATGAGTTCGCCACGGCTCGTGAAACGGTAGTCCGTTTTGTGCAAGACTCCATCGCCGAAGCGGTGGATAAGCAAAAGCAAAACGCTGACAAGAAGGATAGGAAGGGCAAACACTCTTTTTTTTTACTAAAGGTGACTTAGTCCTACTGTCTACAGTTAATCTACCAAAGCATGTAGTGACCTTCAACTTGGGTAGCAGTAAACTACTACCCAAGTACATTGGACCCATTTCGTGTATTGCACCGCCTAGGCAATGCATACACGATCGAGTTACCACGTAAGATGCGAACGCATCCCACGTTTTACGTTGGTCGGCTTAAGCCGTACCATCAGTACGCTGCTTCTTCCGATGAAGAACGCCCTTGCGCTCAAGCATCTCGCAGAGAGCCTTGTGCTCCCGATGGTGGGCATCAACGAGGGTCTGAAGAGCGTTATCTCAGCCCGAGATCGGTCAACATCCCCACGAGCTGCCCTTGGCTCGTCACGCGAAGATGTCAGAGCTCTCTCGTTCTCCAAGCTAGGCAAGGCAAACTCAGCTCGATGCTGAGACAGTGTCCGCCATTTGGAGACGCCTATTCCGCTCATGTTCGAGATCGTCGCGTAACCCTTGCGTTACGCGATCAAAAAGCTCTCGGGAATACACGCTCCCCACGATTGTGTGGAGAGCGTCTTCCCTCCTCCTCCACCTCCATTAGAGGACTCTCGCGGTGGCCAGCGCTATCTGGTTGAGCGGCTGTTGAACCACCGCGACGTGAACTGGACGTCGGACGAGTTATCTCGTCCGGTGGCGCGGCTATCCCCGTCCTGGGATTCTTGGGAGCCCCGCTCCCAGTTGATGGTTGACGTACTGGGTCTGTCCAGGCAGTACGACGCGGCACATCCTGTGCCGCAGAAGGACCCGCCGGAGAAAGTCTTCCCGGCACGGTCGTAAAGGGATTTCAGGTTGTCAATCCCTTCGTGCATCTCAGTAGAGACACGTACGCGCCACCACGGGCTGGTAAGGAGGGTAAGCCTCCTTAGGTGCTCGTGCAGAGTTATTCACACAACATAGGCACGAGTTCTCCCCAAAGAGAGGCAGGGTAATCCTTTTTCCCTTGACCAGACGATGCAGCTTATAGCGTGCACCTGTCGGGGTTCGCTTTTCAAACTTATCACGAGCTTTGATAAGTTTGTCGTTCCAAGCGTCACGACCTACATCCTCAAGGTTATGGATGTAGGCGTTCCACACCTTGCAAAGCAGTGAGGGACCATCACGCTTGTGATTTCCCACTGTACCATCGATGTCTGAAGAAAGCATCGATGAAGAATTTGTTCTCAGCGCGATAGTTTTTCGCACTGGGGTCAAGGTGATGGATCCTTGACGAATCGAACAACCGTGTTCGATAACGATCACTCGTCGTCGCCGACAAGTGATCCATGACGGATTTGGAGGGCATCCATGCGCTTCTTTTCTGGAGCGAGACGCAAGACATTGCGGTCCCGCTGTTCTTGCACGATAGCCGACAGAAGTACTGGCACCTCGCTGTGAAGTGGTATCCATAGGAGAACCGACACCACTATTGGCGCCCAGAGTCTCGCGACCTCGAGCGCCTACGCTTCGGCGATGGTTCATCTGATTCATCAGATGAACCAAATGCTGCGACGCAAAGAATCGTCCATGCCACGCTCGGCAGGCGGCTTGGATTCCATCGCCGTCGATACGGATCCGTCTTCCGTATCAGGAGAGTACGAGATACCGAGCTCGTACTCTGTGAACGTGAGTGTCTTCATGACCAGCGCCTGCATCACCAAGTGACACAGGCTGGGTGCTTCAGCAACCGATGAGACATCAGTTGCTGTGGTTTCTCTTCGGCGTCACAGGAGTACGTGCCCGGACGCGCTCTCGGCGGCCTTGCTCGCGCATCGCATGGGCTTGTTAACCATGCGATGAGATGTTGAAAAGTGGACGCGGACCAACAAGTGCAAGCCCTATCCCAATGATTTGGGACAGTATCCATTATCCAATCAGTCACTAAAGTGACTGATGGTTAAGGGGGGTGATGTAACGGGGTGAATCGTTACATAACAATTTATAAGAATTGTTAATAGAGTATAACTATAAGAGTTATATTCTCAGAATATTATCGTAGGACAAATATTCTGTAGCACTTACAGTAGTTCTAATTGGTTGATATAGGCCATTATATCAACCAACGAAGGCTAACGCCACGACGGACGCACGCAATGAGTGGTGAGCAGATAGCTGATTTACACATTTGTATTTAGACATAGCTAGATGAAGATAAATAGTGATTTATTGCAGACATTAACTATACAAAATACAAGTTCTACTTTTAACTTTAACCAGAAGTACTCGCTTCTTCTTACCGTCTTCCTCTGCACGTACGAGTGTACGTGAAGTTACAAGGCTGCCCTTATTCTGTCATCAGAATAAGTAGCTTGTACTGTCACCAGTACAAGCTTTCAGAGTGCCCGTTACACTTTTCATTTATCAGCCAGTTGTCTGTCAAAGACTCTATCGTGTCGGAGGACTGTGACATCTCTGAACTTCTCGTGCGAACGAAACGAGACCATTGAAGGTCGCGCCCACCGCTCTGCTCTCGCCCCACCATGGAAAAGTTGACCCGCTCGATCGGCAGACTTTTAGCCGCCTCATTTCCGGGGACGACTGAAGGTCTCCAGCCTCCTCTCGACGGGAGCGACGATGGAGATGGAAGAGGCAGTCAAGGCGGGCAGTGGGACGGCAGATGCAGCGGACACGAGGGACGGTCTCTGGGCGTAGGCGAGGAAAGCGGTGATGGCAACGATGTCGAGGATGATCAGTTTCATGGCTGGCAAGAGGAGAAGAGAAGCAGATGGCGAGGAGAGGTAGGCTGCTGAGGGGTGAGGCAAATTGCGATATGGCAATACTTACCTGGGCGCTGTCCGGCGCAGAACTTCACATCCAGTCATTTTGTTGCCTGGATCCACTCACACTTCCGGCTTGTTTTCGTTTTGCCCATCCGAAACTATTGCCGGCTGTCCGATAGTCCTAGTATTGTATGGTCATCACTTGGTCAGCGAACGGCCACTTTCGCGAGCCCTAGCAATGGTGGCCGAGTTTGGGAATCGGCATCAACACATTCGACCGTCGTCCATCTATCGACGTGGACAAAGCGCCTAGCGTCGACTGTGGTGGTGATTTTATGGTAAGGGTAAACATTGGTGGTGATGGACTTCAGTCGAATTAAAATCGATTTCTGATCTAAACAATAGTCAGCACAGAGGAACGACACTATGATTGGCTCTAGTGCAACCAATGACTTGTAACGGGGCACCCTGAAGCTTGTACTGGTGACAATACAAGTGGCAGTACAAGCTACTTATTCTGATGACAGAATAAGGCGGTGCCTCGGAACTTCACGTACACTCGTACGTGCAGAGAGACAGGAGAAGCGAGTACTTGGTTAAAGTAAAAAGTAGAACTGTATTTTGTATAGTTAATGTCTGCAATAAATCACTATTTATCTTCATCTAGCTATGTCTAAATACAAATGTGTAAATCAGTTATCTGCTCACCACTCATTGCGTGCGTCTGTCGTGGCGCGTCTTCGTTGGTTGATATAATAGCATATATCAACCAATTAGTAACTACTCGTAAGTGCTACAGAATATTTGTCCTTACGACAATATTCTGAGATATATAACTCTTATAGTTATACTCCATTCAGCAATTTCTTATGGAATTGTTATGTGGCTTTGATTCACCCCGTTACATCACCCCCCTTAACCATCAGTCACTTGGCGTGACTGATTGTTTAAATGGATACTCGACCCAAATCATTTGGGACAGGGTTTACACTTGTTGGTTCGCGTCCGCTTTCCAACATTTCATCGCCCGGTTAACAGCCCATGCGATGCGCAGATAAAGGCCGCCAAGAGCGCGTCCGCACGTCTCTGTGCGGACGCCGAAGCAAAAACCACAGCAACTGATGTCTCATCGTTTGCTGGATCGGCTTTCAGCCTGTGCCACCTGGTGGAGGTACGGGCGCTGGTCATGAAGATTTTTACTCATGTCTTCGCAGAGTATGAGCTCGGTGTCTCGTACTCTCCTGATACGGAAGATGACAGATCCGTATCGACGGCGATTAGATCCAAGCCGCCTTCCAAGCGTGGCATGGATGATGCTATGCGTCGTCAGCATCTTTGGTTCATCTGATGGATCAGATGGACCATCGCCAGCGAGGCGCTCGAGGTCGCGAGACTCGGGCGCTAATAGTGGTGTCGGTTCTCCAATGGACACCACTTCACGGCACAGTGCCAGTACTTCTATCGGCACGTCGCAGGAAGAGCGGGACCACAGTGTCTTGCGTCTCGCTCCAGAGAAGAAGGCATGGATGCCTCCTAAATCTGTCATGGATCACTTGTCGGCGACGACGGTGATCGTTATCAGTTCACGGTTGTTCGATTCGTCAGAGATCCATCACCTTGACCCCAGCGCGAAAGACTATCGCGCTGAGCATGAATTCTTCATCGATGCTTTCTTCAGACATCGATGGTACGGTAAGGAATCACAAGCGTGATGGTCCCTCCTTACTTCAGGAGTGGAACGCCTACATCCATAACCTCGAGGATGTAGGTCGTGACGCTTGGAACGACAAACTTATCAAAGCTCGTGATAAGTTTGGCGAACCCCGACGGGTGCACGCTACAGCTGTCGTCTATCAAGGGAGAAAGGATTCCCCTGCCTCTCATTTGGGAGACTCGTGCCCATGTTGTGTGAACAACTCTGCACCGAGCACCTAAGGCTTACCTCCCTACCCGGCCGTGGTGGCGCGTACGTGTCTCTACTGAGATGTACGAGGGTTGACAACCTGAAATCCGCTACGACCGTGCCGGGGGGGAAGACTTTCTCCGGCGGTCCTTCTGCGGCACAGGATGTGCCGCATCGTACTGCTCGACCAGACCCAGTACGTCAACCATCAGGTGGGAGCAGGGCTCCCAAGAATCCCAGGACGGGGGATAGCCGCGCCACCGGACGAGAAATAACTCGTCCGACGTCGTTCACGTCGCGGTGGTTCAACAGCTACTCAACTAGATAGCGCTGGCCACCGCGAGAGTCCTCTAATGGAGGTGGAGGAGGAGGAAAGACGCTCTCCACACGATCATGTGGAACCGTATATTCAGAAACTTCTTTGATCGCGTAACGCAAGGGTTACGCGACGATCTCGAGCATGAGCGGGATAGGCGTCTCCAGATGTGGACACTGCCTCGAAGCATCGAGCTGAGTTGCCTTTGCTCAGCTTGAGAACGAGAGATCTCTGACATCTCTTCGTGACGAGCTAAGAGGTAGCTCGTGGGGATGTTGATCGGTCTCGGGCTGAGATAACTGCTCTTCGGACCTTGTTGATGCCCACCATCAGGAGCACAAGGCTCTCTGGAGATGCTTGAGCGCAAGGGCGTTCTTCATCGGAAGAAGCAGCGTACTGATGGTACGGCTTAAGCCGACCAACGTAAAACGTGGGATGCGTTCGCATCTTACGTGGTAACTCGATCGTGTATGCATTGCCTAGGCGGTGCAATACACGAATGAGCCAATGTACTTGGGTAGTAGTTTACTGCTACCCAAGTGTGAGTCACTACATGCTTTGGTAGATTAACCGTAGACAGTAGGACTAAGTCACCTTTTATTAAATAAAAAAGAGTGTTTGCCCTTCCATTCTTGTCAGCGTTTTTGCTTTTGCTTATCCACCGCTTCGGTGGAGTCTTGCACAAAACGGACTACCGTTTCACGAGCCAGTATGAACTCATCTGATGACTCGTTAGCTTCAGTGCGCTGTGAGCGCACTGCAGCAACATCAGCCTTTTCTTCAGTGAGGGCTTCCGCACCTCTCACTGGCATCATCTTCTTCGATATCGATCGTTATCGATATCGGCATCGCTACAATGACTTCTTCGTCAGGCGTGATGAGCGTGAACCAAATCGGTTTTTGCTCGCGCGAGTCCCTCCCCCCCTTAAACCAGAGTTACACTCTAGTAAGGTGGGTACGCGGATGGCGCAAGCCATTCGTAAAACGGTCGTATGTGTCGTGGACGCATGCACCGAGTTATTGATGGCAAACTCTACCATTGGCAAAAACTCACTCCAACTCTTAAAGAGGTGGCCGTATCCTCGAAGTATCTCTTCAAAGGACACGTTGGCACGTTCCGTCTGACCATCTGACTCTGGATGATCAGATTTTGACATCTTCAAGCGCGTTCCGAGTGATTTGAACACGGAACGCCAGAAATCAGCAGTGAATCGTGGATCTCTGTCTGATACGAGTTCACGGGAGCAACCCATGAAGTCGGAAGATGGTGTCAATAAAGACACAAGCACAGCCACTTACCGTGATTGTCTCTGTTACAGCCACAAGGTGTACCATTTTGCTGAATCTGTCAACAAATACGAGAATACCCGTATTCCCGCGTGCCGTCTTTGGTAATGCCCGAGGCGAAATCCATTGAGTTGGTTCCCAGCGCCTCAGCCGGAACCGGTAGAGGCTGTAAAGGTGCACGCAGTGAAGGGACTTGACTTCACTCGTTGGTAGAATTCCTGCGCGAACATACTTTCGCACAAACTGATACTGGCGGGGCCAGTAAAGTCTCGCTTACCGTGAATATGTTTTCTCTCGGCCACGATGTCTTCTATAGGAGCATTTTGATACTCGGGCTTGATCCGCAACGCAGGTCAGTATCATCTGGAATGACAACACGTGGTGTGTTACCAGAAACGTGCTGTATAATACAGTAAACCGTTACGCAGTGTAGTGTATCGTCTGATGCAGATCGATACGCAGGCGACTTATCGTTTCAACGATTCTCAAGATGGTTGTGAGAGATGGGTCAACAACTTCACAATCTCACCATATTGGGCGCCTCACATCATCCTTACAACGTTGTAGATGGGATACGAGGGACGTCATAACCGCACGACTGTCTCACTGTTGGGTTTCGCTGTTTCAAAGTCGGGACGACGTGAGAGTGCTTCAGCGACGACATTAGTCGTCTGGTTTGTACTCGACCGTAAAGTTATATTCCGCAAAAAATGACAACCACCGCGCAGTGCGTTGTGAAAGGTGCGGGCTGTTCACTGCCGTGCGCAATGACGCATGGTCAGTGTAAACAATGAAGGTCTATCTCCTAATAGATAGACTCTGAACTTCGCGGTGCATACTTCATGGCAAAAATTCCTTGTCATGCACTGGATATTCCGCTCAGCTGGTTGCGGCTGACGACTGATAGCAGACGACGCGTTCAACGCCTTCAAAGATCGTACTGCATTAATGCGGCCGATTGCGAAATCGCTGGCATCACGAACCACATGAAATGGCCTGTCCTGATCGGCTATTGCCAGGACTGGGGTTATATCAGCTCTGCTTGATACCCTCAAAGGCTGACATTCAGCGTTCCATAACCACCTCTCGTTCTTTTTCAACAAACAGAGAGAGGTGCTGTCATCTCGGCGTAATTGCGTGAATACTTGTGCAAATACGCCGTATTCAGGAATTTTCGAGCTTTACGACATCAACATGGCACAGGCCAGTCGGTGATCGCCTTGATCTTTCGGGATCAAAACGTACTCCGTTCTTACCAACGATGCCAAAGTGGTATTTCAGCATGCAAATATACACTTCTTGAGGTTCTGGATTCTAATTGATGCTTTGCGTGATTGTAAGTTTCTGTCGGACGTGGTGTCTGTGAACCTCAACGTCCGACTTTCCAAATCCATAGCTCGGCTGTGGATGAATGCGTCATCGGAAATAACTCGGCGCGAATTCTCGTACTGGTCTCAACAGATGTGATACACATCTGTTGAAAGTAACAGGGGCATTACTGAGCCCTTGTGGCATCACTAGCCACTCCCAAGTATGCGCTAGGCGTGCTAACTGCATTATGAGAATTATATCCCGTTCTCGCATAAGGATTTGATAAGCCATCCATCAAATCCATGGACGAAAAGTCAGTGCTCACGACATACCATCAATGATTACGTCTTCCCTCGGTATCGGCGTCGACCAAGGTACCGTTTACAACGTTCTTGTTGAACGCATATATCCGCCACCTCCTGTTGCTTTTCTTACAGAAGGTCGAGCTATGTGGAGAAGTTGATTCCTACATGGCCCGCTGCTAAACGATCGGCAAAGAACTTGTCGATCGCAAGTCTGTTCACGAGGCAGTGGCCATAGCTACATGACACAGTACTTCGAGCCTGGTTTAAGCTCGACCTCGTGTCGAATACCTTTATCCTAACGCTGAATGTCAGCGCTCCTTTGATGGTTTATCAAGCAGAGCTTGATCCAATCCCCCTGTCCTAGCAATAGCCGATCAGGACAGGCCATTTCATGTGGTCTGTGATGCCGGCGATTTCGCAATCGGCTGTGCATTAATGCAGTACGACCTAGAAGGCGTTGAACGCGTCGTCTGCTATCAGTCGCGTCAGCTGCAACCAGCTGAGCGGAACTATCCAGTGCATGACAAGGAACTCCTTGCCATGAAGTATGCACTCGCGCAAAGTTCAGAGTCTATCTATTAGGAGATAGCCCCTTCATTGTTTACACTGACCATGCGTCATTGCGCACGGCAGTGAACAGCCCGCACCTTTCACAACGAATGGCGCGGTGGTTGTCATTCTTTGCGGAATACAACTTTACGGTCGAGTACAAACCAGGACGACTTAATGTCGTCGCTGGTGATACTCTCACGTCGTCCCGACTTTGAAACAGTCGCGAAACCCAACAGTGAGACAGTCACTGTTGCGGTTATGACGCCCCCAGTCCCATCTACAACGTTGTATGATGATGTGAGGCGGGCATACGCCCAAGATGGTGAGATAGTGAAGTTGTTGACACATCTCTCCCAACCATCTCGAGAATCGTTGAAACGATTGTCGTCTGCGTATCGATCTGCATCAGATCGATACACTACCTCGTAACGGTTTACTGTATTATACAGCCGTTTCTGGTGACACACCACGTGTTGTCATTCCAGATGATACTGATCTGCGTTTGCGGATCATGTTCGAGTATCACGATGCTCCTATAGGAGGGGACATCGTGGCCGAGAAGAAAGCGTATCTCACGGTAAGTCGAGACTTTTACTGGCCCCGCCAGTATCAGTTTGTGCGAAAGTATGTTCGCGCATGCGAAGTCTGCCAACGAGTGAAGTCAAGTCCTTCACTGCGTGCACCTTTACAGCCTCTACCGGTTCCGGCTGAGTGCTGAGTATACATCTCAATGGATTTTGTCTTCGGGTTACCCAAAGACGCACGCGGGAATACGGGTATTCTCGTATTTGTTGACAGATTCAGCAAAATGGTACACCTTGTGGCTGTACCCGAGTCAATCACAGCAAGTGGCTGTGCTTGTGTCTTTATTGACACCATCTTCCGACTTCATGGGTTGCCCCGTGAACTCGTATCAGACAGAGATCCACGCTTCACTGCTGATTTCTGGCGTTCCGTGTTCAAATCACTCGGAACGCGCTTGAAGATGTCGACATCTGATCATCCAGAGTCAGATGGTCAGACGGAACGTGCCAATCG